GTTAAAGGCCGAGAGGTACCGGGGAGGGATTCTGGGCAGGACCAGCCATGTGGAACGCGAGTTTTCAGCAAAGTGGGGTGTCTTTGAAGGACCATAACTTCCTCAAAAGCGGACCTGTGGGGAAGAGGAGACCGTATTCGTGTAGAGGAAGGTTTGCACTTCCTAAAAGTACTGAAACGTTTATGAAGGTCGCAAAAATCACAGAGAAATCTGCCATGGGATTCGTTGGGGAGTGATTTCAACTGAACAGGTTTGAATCAATATATTTTTTTGTAACTCAACATTTCACAAATCTGAGATCGCGAAAAACCCGTTTCTCCTGTAAACCGTCTTCAAGTGAGCGTGTTCGAATAACCAGTAACGCATGAAAAACGTATCCTGTGGTGGAGCAGGAGCAAAATATGTTCGTTGGCGCTGATCACGCTGACTTTGGATGCGCCGCGCACTGAGGTCCGCGCAGAAGTGATGGGATGGTGCAACTTGTGCGTAATGTCTGTCCACGCGAGCAAATGTGTCTATAGGATTCAGGGAGGTCCATGGCGAACCTGTGCACTTGTTTACAGTGTTTCCGCTGCGTTGCGTATGATGGAGCGTGTCCCTGTCGACGCCGCCAGATTCGTGCTCCGCCAATGATTCCGATAAAGGAGACCAACTGCTGGAAAACGTCTGATACGAGCGATATGGTAGTCCTGTCGTTTGTCGAAAAAAACAGGTTGGCTCAGCGCCAAGCGCGATCGCGGACGCGCCCCATCATCCGCAGCGAACCAGAGTAGAGTTGTATGAGTCACTTACGAGATGATGTCGACTTATTAATATTTCCAGTTATTTCGGATTAGTTTGATGAATGAAAGTTTTGTACTATTTTTTTACATATCCGAGTTCTCTACAAAGCAAGTTTCGCTGTACAGGACTCAGCACACTGACTGCTCGTTACTGGCTACCGCACTCATTACGACCCCCCCTCCTGGCGGCCAAATACGACCCCCCTGTTGGGGATTCCCCAACCAACGATGTGCCCTGCATTCACCTGATGGATGCTTGATCCGTGTAGATGTCCGCTACTTTTGAGTCTCTATGCAGTGCGTCAAGCCAGAGCTGCTTAACTTCCTTTTGCCGCTCACCTTGAGCTGGAGACCAGTTTTACGAGAGGTGTCAGCCCTTACGCAAGGTACGTGGTGGTACTATCAAAAACGTGTCTCTCGCACTTTGTTAGCAATGGGGGTGCACCACAGTTCTTCCTCACGACATGCTTGCAAAAGCAACTGTGTGATCTGCCGTCAATGAAACACCTTCTCTCCATCACACTGAAGCGAGCTTTAACTTCTTCGGTAGCAAGCCACCACTCGGACCAAATAATGCGAGCCGTCTACCACAGTTCCATAGATCTTCGACTCGAAGCGCTCTAGTAGTCGTGAGAATTTGGTTGGAGAAGTCCCGAGTTTTGAATCGAAATGGTATACCATACTCCCCTTGCCGAATTCTCTTCAGGTAACGGAACAAGACAGCGACTCTATCACACAGACGTACTATATGTACCTCGCCAAAACTGAGTGATTTCCGTGGTCTAGTGAGCGTTCCTTGCATTACCGGTCGTTCATACGTCGATAGTTGCAGAAGTTGATGATTCTGTAATGGAAATCAAAAACCTACGAAACGGCAGTTTCGGAGAACATGATGAAAAACGCGTCGAACCTTTGCTTCATCGAGAAGATTCCGGCATGTGACATCCGCCATCACCAACGCATCCTTACTGACTGTGCTGACAAGGAATTTCGGCTGACAAAGCGGAAGTCGTACGTGCTCCATCAGCTGCAAAAGCAGTGATGGAATAGTTTTCTATGCTTACAGAGAACATAGCCTGTACCTTCGCAAGGAACTGTTTTCGATCTGGTAGGTTGAATCTAACCCATCGAGCAACTGCTAAGTAGACCTGAAACATACTCTCATGTGGCTTGTGTAAAGAAAATCAGGGGGGGGGGTCGTGCAGTTGCGCGGAGTCGTCAGGCCACTATCATCCCTTAGGAAGTTTCTACGGCACTGTCGAAAAGGCACTCATAGAACAATGACATATCCTTTATATGTTCCTCATTCATATTAAAGCCAGGCTTTGGTTACTCCGCGAGTGTGTTTATATTGCGACTATTCGCGGCAGCGTCTATCAGCGACCATCCTCCACTGTTCCGCGTGTCCAGCAGCGGCAAGTAGGAGAGTAAAAATATGGATCTTGCGTCTGCCAGCGTCCTTCAGCGTCTCGAGGGCTGGGAGAGTATCGACCTAGCTGGTAACCTCCTGTCTCGCTCTACTCTCTACGAGAAGTCTGCCGCCTTCCCATCTCCTCGTATTTTAGCAGCCGTCCAGTCTCTACCCTTCCTATCGCGCCTTAAAGACACTTCCCGCGATAAAGTGTTCGGGTAATTGGTGCCCAGTAACGAAGCAGTGGCCCATTTGTAACCCCCAGTGGAAAAAAACCTCGCGAACACCCGGAACACAGACCTCCCTTTAGCAGTGGGGGCGGGGCCTGGACGAGTGTGCCGGACGTGGCTGCCAGAAATCGATGCGGCAGCCGCAATTGCGTCCCGACTTTCGCAGCAGCGGCAAGTAGGAGAGTAAAAATATGTATCTTGCGTCTGCCAGCGTCCTTCAGCGTCTCGAGGGCTGGGAGAGTATCGACCTAGCTGGTAACCTCCTGTCTCGCTCTACTCTCTACGAGAAGTCTGCCGCCTTCCCATCTCCTCGTATTTTAGCAGCCGTCCAGTCTCTACCCTTCCATCGCGCCTTAAAGACACTTCCCGCGATCAAGTGTTCGGGTAATTGGTGCTCAGTCACGAAGCAGTGGCCCATTTGTAACCCCCAGTGGAAAAAAATCGAAAAAAACCTCGCGAACACCCTGAACACAGACCTCCCTTTAGCAGTGGGGGGGCCTGGACGAGTGTGCCGGACGTGGCTGCCAGAAATTG